GAAGGAAGGAAGGAAGGAAGGAAGGAAGGAAGGAAGGAAGGAAGGAATTTCCCTGAAGAATATAAACAAAAACAGAATTTCCTACCCGTAAAAGGGATTGAGACTCATCCTTTGACTTGTTATCAGCAGATCCAGGATATGGCTGAGAAAGTGGTCCAGATTTTTCTCCGCTTCCTTGCACCATGCCTTGCAGGAATCCCTTGGTCTCAACAGGCAAGCTATAAACAGGCCTTGCGAGATGAGCAGCTTCTACATTTGGACTATCCCTTAAAGCCTTTGGCTGCTCTTGGACAACAGACACTGTGGTCAGAAGACCCAAGCTTGTTTGGGTATAGGATGGGCTTCCTCTCAAAATGTCCACTCCTCTCCAAGTTGTACCACGAAGATCATCACTAGACCCATCAGGCCAACCTTTCTCCTTCAATCCTTCTTTATCTTCCATCTTTTCCTTCTTCACTACACTCTCCGAGATGGGCTCCCCCATTTTTGGATCTGAACTGATCAGGTTATAAACCTTCAGATCAGTTTTGGATTCTTCCTTGAGAGCAGCCGCCATCCCATGGCTATCTTCCCCATTGGCTGTGGTGATGTCCATTTCTTGACAGTGCACAGTGTTGAAGTGTTCCAGTAAGGACTGTGTATCAAGCGCTGTAAAGCTGCACTGATGGCATTTATAACAATTATGGACTCTCCTGAAGAGAGAAAAACAGAGGAGAAAATATTACAATAAGTTCAACTATGGTGACCAAAATGAATTATTTCCAGATCTGGTGGCCTGCAGGCCTTTCAGAATTGAGTGAAGATAAAACTTGTCTAGGTCAATGTTGAGTACATGAACACATAGTTTGTTATTTGAAATCTTCCTCGTTGTCATTAAGGTAATTTATTCTCATTGCCTTCTTTCATGTTCTATCTATCTACCTACCTACCTACCTATGTTTAATTTCCCAATCTTGCACAGAAACCATTCCTTGGTGGTCTCCTTTCCAGTTACTAACAAACATGTGACTAATTTAGCACTTGCAGTGATTTGCTTAACAACTGTGGCAAGAAATTTGTAAAATGGGGCAAAACTCACTTAACAACTATCTCATTTATTAACAGAAATGTTGGGGTCCATTGTGGTTGTAAGATGAGGAACACCCGAATGTAATAACTTCCTATCTGCCTTTCATTGTTTCTCTTTCCTGTGCTTTGCCTTTCTCTTTCCTTCTTGTGTTATCCCATTTAAACCCAGGAACACATGAATATTTCCACAAAAATGTCAATAATAGTTATGGTTCTATTGATAGAAAATCGATGTCCTCAAGAAATATATTAAATCATTTAACTCTACACTTATAAGTCAACTAATATGCTTGGTAATAGAGAATCTCAAAAATGAGTGTTCAGTGTCTTTTTGGATTTCTTCTGATTAACTATTTCCTATGTTCTTGTTTTACCCTATGCATTTTAATGAAAAAACAAGTAAGCTGCATTTATTCATTTATTCCACAAGACTAGGATAAAATAAGTGTATTAGGAAAAAAGAGGAACTTTTATACACCATGCATTTCTGAGACTTTAAATGCATAGGAATTGTAGTTCTGTTCAACTATAGCAGGGGTGTCAAACTGGTGGCCTAAGGGCCGGATGTGTCACATGCAGGCCCACCTCAGCTCCACGAAGAGGGGAAACGTCACAAAACGTGATGGCAACGTGAAGTAGCAAGTTTGACACCTGTGATCTACAGCGTACAATTGTTTGGTGTTCTTATACAACCACAAGAACACCATTATAGTTCTTTTCATCTAAAGAATAGGTTGCCAAAATCTGTTAGAAGTGTTGAAAACTACTGTAGGAAAATATTTCCCCTTATTCCTCCCTACTGATAAGAATGAGACATATAAAGTTCATAAGACATAAAAGATCAGCAGGGAAAAAAGAAACTAAGAAATAAATAGAGAACTTATGAAAATTACATGCCACACTATTAATGGTAATCTGGCTTCTCAAATAGGAGATTTCCAGTGTTAATATCAATTGTAACATTTATGAAATTTTGCTCCCTTTACTACATTACAGAGCTTTAATTGGGTATTCTTGTTTTAAAGGTAAATGAATGAATTATTTTTCTTGAATAATAAAAATGTGAAAAATAAAAATAGCTAATAACTGGGGGGGGGGGGTTTCCTCCTGACATCTGACCACAAAAGGGAGGATTACATTTATTAGAACAGAAAAACAAATAAGAAATTACATCATTAAAAATTACCTATTTTTCATATCTGTTTGTAAAATCTGCTTTTAAAAATCAAATTTCCTTTAAAAGTTTTGAATAAAAAGTGAACTTCTGTGAAGAAGGAAAGGTTTCATTCACATTGTCAAAAATAGCATTGGGATATATCTTAAAATTGTCAAGTTAAGAGAGGTTAATCAGAGTAGAATAGTATTCTGTTCTACTGATTAACCTTAAAAGTATTCTATTATTGGCCAAGTGTGATTGGACACACCAGAAATTTGTCTCTGGTACATAAGCTCTCACTGTACATACAGACAACAAAATAATATAACCATAATACTGATAACTAATAAGAGAAGCTAGTATATAAAAAAATGAGAAAGATGAAGCAATAGAGCCATACTACAAAGGTAAATATCCATAGTGTACTGTGACTATGTACTGTGCACTGTGGTAATTATGTGTTCAGCATGAGGGGGAAAAACTGTCTCTGTGTCTAGTTGTTTTGGCATGCAATGTCCTATAGCAGTGTCCTGAGGGGAAGAGTTGAAACAATTTATGTCCAAGATATGAAGGGCCTGTACATATTTTTTCAGCCCTCTTTCTGACCCGTGAAGTATACAGTATTGAGTAGGAACTATGGGTGGGAGAATACAGCTACTATAAAGTAGACCAAGTCACGACATACCTCCATCTCCTTAATTACACTGGCAAACTTTGCTCATTTGGCTCTCCTCAGGCTACATTAGAATTGCATCATAATTTCTAGTCAATATGTGATAAGATATTCCAACTGGCAATTCTAGGATTTGCAGTTCTAATGCATGTAAATGGTCCCAGTTGGAAAAAGGACTGCCATATAATCTTTCATACCTTGATCTTTTGTCAGGTTCTACTTGAATCTAATTTATTCATTTTATCTACCTTCTTCCAAACATTACAATAATTAGTCACTACTCTTGAGAAAACTGCCAATCTTCTCAAGCTACTTTAGTTAACTTTATATTTTTGTTGCAAGAGTTTTTTTTTTATATTTCTTTTCTATTTATTTTATTTTTCTGAGTTTTTCCCCCAAGCAACCTTATCTCTGGTGGATGCATACATCTCCCCCACCCACCCCCATTGCCAGTTGTGTTAGTTAGCCTGTCTCTAAACTCCATACAATTAATAGTAGTGAAGGGAGCTCACACCTGTATAAGCATAAGATTCTTTTTACAAGTACAATATTCAGTTTTTTTATTCAAATAGGCCCCTTTATGGAATGACAATGATGCCTAGGTTTAACTAACGAATTCTAGGAGCCTCTTTATTCTGTCATTTCTGTAACAAAAGACAAAGCAGAAACTATACTTCAACTGTACTCCAGAATTCCTATACACTACTTATGGATGTGATGAGGAAGGTCGTAACTGTAGTATCTCTCATCCTTCCTTTGCTATATGTTCACTCCATACACTAAAAGGCAAATACATGTATAAAACTGTGCTCAGGAACTAAGCAGAATTAGACCTAGACTGCCCACCCAACAATTCAAAAATGCCAACGAGAATAGATTAATCAGTATCACTTTGGTGGGACAGTAGCAGCATTCCATGTGCCTTTGCCATACAGCCATGCTGGCCACATGACTACGGAAACATTAGCTCTGTCAGCCAAGAAACGGAGATGAGCATTGTCCCCTAAAGTTGGACATGACTGACAGGGAAATCTTTACCTTTTACCTTTAGCCTTTGACCAGCAGACTGGCAGAAAACAACAGGGCTATAGGATAAACTAGGAAGTAAAAAATAACAACAATAATCCCAAGAAGTGGTAGAGGTAAACCCTTCCTTATTTCTGGCAAGAAAACTCCTGCTTGGGACCATATAGTCACCAAAAGTAAAATTGAACTTGAGAATCTTTATAAATCTGGTTGTTTTATTTCTCAGTCTATTTTTCTGGTACTGATAATTCACAGCTGAAGCCCAGTTGGGAAGAGAGCTTTCTAATTCAGAGATGAAACACACAAAGAAAGTAAAACCATTGCCAAACTATTGTCTCCTTTCTACTCTTTCTACACACCGATACACCTGCTTTGCATTCCCTAACAAGGATCTTGTTTTTACAGCATCTGGACATCATCTGTTTCTGCCATTCAGCTCATCCTAACAAAATATCTCATTTTCCATATCAATGAAATGCAATAAGATAGCCTGAGTTGGAAATATAAGTTTAAACTTAGATAAAACACTTGTGAGGCAAGCAATGGAACCGAAGGGATTAAAATACAGAAATTATATATGCAAATATACGCATGTACTTCTTTTGAATAAGAAATTGGTAAGAGAAATAATTACCTTTTTTTATAAAATATGTAACTTAAGTATGTTGAAATATAATCACTTCATTACAAAGAAGTGTGATGGCACAGCCAGATATTGGCGTTAAGAATAGGATGGTTGGGTTCTTATTATTGTTTTGGGGAGTGGGGGAGGACAGAAAACAGGAAAAAGTGGAGTTTCCCAAAAAATTTAAACCCTTCACAATTACTACTATCTCTAAATTATGAGTAGGGAAGCAGAGTAGAATCAACACAATTGATAAAACTAGTTGTTGTTTCTTAAATAAAAGATTTTGCTTTGGTTTATTTTAAAAATGGTTTTTCTTTAAGGAAAAATCATTGCTAAACATTTTATTTATTGGGATTTAATTTACTAGAGGTTTAAATATTTAGTTTTGATTATTAAATGACCGCAATGATTTAACAAATAAAGAAATTTATTCATTAAATTTAAATGCCACCCAGAATCATTTGTTAGTGAGATGGGCAGCACATACATTTAATAAATATATAAAGTTTGTTTCATTTTAATTACTAATTACTAAAATTACTTAGTTAAGAAATTCTAAGAGCCTCTTTATTCTTTCATTTCTATATCAAAAGACAAATCAGGAACTATTTTATTCCAGAAAACTTATATTCTCTTTGTGGATGTGATGGAGAAAGTCATAATTGTAACATCTCTCACACCTCCTCAATCTGTCCCATTTAAAATGTCTATTCAGTAAAATAAAAACAGCAAAATTCATCCTCTTGTTAAATTGCTTATTCAAAATCCAGTCTTCTTTCTGCATGAAACTTACACATTATATGGTGAGTTTGTCAAACTGTGTTCTTAAAAAAAATGTGTTCTCAAAAAAAAAAAAAAGATCAAGGAGAACAAACAAGAGATCTGATTGTGTGTGATACTTTGCAAGGAGAAAAATGGGAAAAGATGTTGGGTCAATCCCGAATACTTCAGCTGAGAAAAAATGAGAACTCTGCAATATGCAATTTCTAAATACAGCCGATATAAATGTCCCATATACCTTGGAATAACAGGCATGCCTATTTTCATTCAAGCAGACCATGAAAAGTACTGTATTACTGAACTATGTAAAACATATGTTCCCACATTGGAACAATATGTTGCCAATTTCCTGTATATGCCA